CAATCCTTGATATGGCTCTAAATTAAGTTGGCTCTTTGTATGGAACCAGCAATAACATGAAAGAATCTCTAACCCATCCATGTTAAACAGAAGTGGATGACCAACAATTCCTAATTGGTTGCATTGGAGATATTTTAAACATAAGTCGAGGGGCTCAAGAGATGTGTTTCTCGAAAACATTCAATAAATAATGAGATATCAACTGTAGAACTAGAGATAATGATACCATCCATGATATTTCCCAAGATCATTTTCTTTTCTAAACCACATCATGACTGATCTCTAAATATTCAAGACAAGTCAACAACAAATAAATTTTAGTGGCCATGCATCATCTTGTTTCAATAAGGGCTTGTATACAATGAGACCATTTATCTTTAGTACAAGGAGGTCACAATTACTTATAACTTTCCTATATGAAATCTGATAACTTGCAAAAAGTTCGAAATTTTTTTTTTTTGAACTTTGAGCTTGGGCAATGGAATAAATGCAGCTACCCAATTTCACATTCACTGGTCAAGATAAATTGTTATCACTTTGTAGTAAAAGTATGGTCTCGATATGTACTTTTTGTTTTGATAAAATAAAAATAAAAATGTAAGGCTTACTTTGCAGGTCAATTTTCATGAATAACTTAGATGGTGTTTTACAAATTTTTAGCATCAACTCCATTTTATCTTATAAAAAAGGCAAAAACCTGCATGACCAGTTTCTTTACAGAAGATGAGAAAATCATGTGCTCCAAAAAGATCACAAACATGATTTTTTTAAGGTTGAGACACGTACTACTTTCTAACCAAAGGATTACATTAGATAGGGACGTAAAGAAGGATATAGACCTTTTCCTACTCGTACTCAAAAAGATTTCATAAAGCAAAATAGGGATCCCTCGTCAAAGGCCACTGTATTTCAAAAAGCACAGAGGAAACCAAAAACGAGTCGGTAAGTATGAAAAACAGGGGTGAGGTCGTGGTGTTAAGCATCACTTGTGTCCCAACTAAAGTCTAGGTTTCATTATCACCCCACGTATTAAAATACCACTAACGATTTAAAAAAATGGAATAGTAGCTCATCATCCCTTTTGAACTGCTAAAAAAAAAAAAAAAAGAAAGTAAGGAGACAACGACCCTCTTGTCACAGACAATTGTATAACAAAAAGCATAAAGGTTACCAAAAAGGAGTCAAGTATGGAAAGTTTCACGAAGGAAATACGCACGAAAATTCAATTCATCATTTAAATCTCTTTCCCGTTGCCCCCCCATCATTCTTAAAGAAAAATCATCTTTTCGTGAAGGCTAACATGAATGCATCTCTCTTTCTAAACTAATTTTTTTAGGGAATGTCTACGGACAGATCATTTCTCTCGGTAGACAATCCCTTATCTTTATCATAAGAAGGTTACAATTATTTTCACTCATTAGATGTAAAATTTGAAGGCTTGGGGTGAGTCACAAAAGCTTGGGCTGAATCACAAAGGCTTGCGGTGAGTCACGAAGTCCGAGAATATATTTTTTTTGAATTTTGTGTCTATTCAATGACACTCTTACAATCATCCAATTTAAAATTTAAGGGACAAAAATGATTGTCACCTTAATATACAAAAGATAAAAAAAAAAGTTTATATAAGGTTGCAACCTTAAAATATAGAATTACAAATGCAAAAACCTCTAATTAATCATTTAGATATTGAGATGTTGGAATATAAAGGAAAATAAAGATTTTGAGTCACAGAAAGAGTGCATCTTGTAATACATTATCTAGACCTTCCATTTTCAAGATCTTCATATATTTATAGATCAGCATGATTTTAACCATTTTTGGAGTTTAAAATTGTATCATTAGATATGAAAATAGATTTTGAGATAATCTTAAGAATTTTTTCACCAAAATTACCTGTTATGATAAATTTTGGAAGTACGCCTTAATTGGATTGTTTAAACCTTATAGAAACCACAGCCAAAGATAAATGATCCGACAATCCCCTTATTTAAACCATAGATTTTACTTTATAGGAAGGACCATAATTTACGTGCATCGTTGAATAGATAGTTAGACTCAAATGTGATTTGTATAAGGCTGAGGCCCTCACCAATTATAGTAAGGCATACTTTCAAATAGTACCAAAATATGTTGTTTTAGTATAAAAAATCATTGTGGTGGCTAGATATTTTATTTTCATTATCTAATTATAGAATTTAAAGAGTAAAAAATAGTGTAGACCCAACTGATCTATGAACACTTGAAAACCTTGAATACATTACGTGATGAACTATTTCCAAGACTTTGAATCTATTTTTTCTCATGTTCATATATATTGAGGACAAGATGATCGAATTGAGGGTTCTTAACATCAAAACAACCTCTTCTAATGAATATTTTTATATTAATTTTAATGTTTATATTAATTTTATTGCTTAAGGTATCCTTTGAGGTTCTACACACATGGATGTAGGAGAGTCTCATAGGATCATTACTTATATATAT